CACTTCTTTTCTGGTTGATCTATATTTTTCAAATTCTTTATAATTTTGAGATGAGAAAAAGAATCATAAAGTATTATTTACATCTACAAAACAGGACATAGGTATGATTAGGTAGCCGTAAACACTTGGCCAGCTATTAGCACTTAATTTAAAAAGTAACTAAACATTTACTTGACCTTTCCTGTGCCAGAGAGGGCGAGTATCCAGGAAAAGACAGAGTGATGAGAGACAAGAGAAGGCTCAAGTGTTCCTGACTATGCAGCAATGTTTGAAAGAGCACCAGGAAGGGCAAGGTGAGATAGCACATGCCTGTAATCCCAGCACTCAGGAGGCTGAGGCAGGAGGATCACTGCAAGTGCAAGGCCAGTGTGGGCTACGTAGCGAGACCCTGTTTTAAAAGAGAAATTGAAAGTAAAAACCAAGAGCTGGGGGATCATAACATGTCAGAATGGCAGAAACTTGAAAAATACAGAATCATAATTATGTCTCAGAATCCTTGGGCCTAGACTGGTTGTGCCCACCCTTCCGTGAAGGGTGTGGGACTTTGCCAAAGATGCATTTTAAGAGTGAGGAGAAGTGAAGTCACTGGATGTTGTTGCAAATTCGAAGCAAAAAAGGAAAAGAAAGAAAGAAACAAAAAGACATTGCCGGTGGTCACTCTTATCAATAATGACATGGGATAAAAAATGGGCCTTCGGCAGCCTATGCAAAACAACAAGCATGTCGCGTCGGAACTGTTCTGAGCTGCCTCTGTAGGGCTTGGGAAATTTCTGATCAATTGCCAGCTGACATGTGACGGGAACAAGAAACTTTCCATTCCTCTCCTGTGGCTGCAACCAGGCAAATGCTCCCGATATCCTCTCATGGAACTCTTAATATATTTTCCCCTGGAAAAAATTGCACTTTAAATAAACATGTAGAATTTTCCTTGGCTCAATTCTGCTTGCAACTCTACCCTTCTCCTATCAGTCCTCTCAAATTCCATTATCTAGCTGAAGTAGGATAGAAGAAATAAAGTACTGTACATAGAAAGGAGACAAAGAAAATCGTAACTTAAAAATTGCATTTTAAGAAGGCTGCAACTTTTGAGGGCACAGTCAGTTACTCAAGACTATCCGTGCGTGGATTCCCTAGATAAATTTATGCTTCTTTCTTTGCAGATGCATCACGTCTAAAATTCCTTAAAGCCAGGCGTGGTAGCACAAATCTGTAATCCCAGCAGGTGTGAGGCTGAGGCAAGAGGATCATTGTGAGTTCAAAGCCAGCCTGGGCTACATAGTGAGTCTCTGTCTCAAAACAAAAACAAAAACAAAAATTCGTTGAGGGCACTGCAAATCTGTAAATTAGCTTAGTGGAGGAAGTAAAAAGCAGGAACTTGATTTTAAGGTAAAGGGGCAGACTGAAAGAATTCAAAGAATGCTTAAATTTTCCAACTAGAAAGAAAATCCTGGGCTTTATACCTTTCACCTGTAAAATGGGCCACTTATCCTTCTAGGGGGGTAGTTTTTCCATAGCTTTCCACCCCCTGAGTGAAACAAAAATGTTCCCAGCCCCAGGAAATAATGCTCCTCTCTCTTGAGGGCCCACACTCTCCTGAAATTCTACCTAAAAAATCCCTTTATGCCTGCGACTGATGTGTTCTGAAAACTCTTTTTCTGTGATGGAAGTCAGTAAACTTGCAACCTGTCCTGTGGGTGGGGTGCTGGTTGGCTTCCCATCGCTGCTTTGGGAGCATCCTCGGATCCAGTGCCACAGCTGCAGCAACCATGTGCATCCCTTGAACGTGTGTTGGCGTGCTCTTAGTTGCTTATATCACATGGAGTTTCCCGTTCTTCCTTTTTAACAGGAGTTTCATTCTGCTGAGAGTAATTTTGCGCCCAGTTTAAAAAGAATAAAACAAAAAACAGTGAATTTTTATTTCCCAGATTTCTTTGGAAATGGATGTGGCTACATGAAATCATTGTGACCTGAGAGATTTAAGTGAAATGCAGTGGGGGATTTCTAAGAAGCTTTTATTTCCCTGGGATATGGGGCACTGGAACGTCCCTTTTCCTACCAGAGGTATAGAACTTCAAGGTTGGAGGTGAAGTAACGACCTTGAGACCACTTCAGGATAGGCCCAAACAATCCCCAGAACTTAAAATCTGATATCCTGGTGGCACATATAACTTACCAAAGCTAAATCAAGAAGATATAAAAATTCTAAATAAACCAATATAGCCAATGAAATTGAAGATGTAATTAAAAACCCAGCAACAAAGGAAAGCCTAGGCCCTGACGAAGACACTGCTCAATTCTACAAGAAATTTAGAGAAGATCTAATGCCATTACTCCTCAAACTCTTCAGTGAAATTGCAAGGGAAGCAATATTCCTAAGTCATTCCTGGAAACAAGTATTACCCTGGTACCCAAACCAGAGAAGGACCCAACTAACAAAGAGAATTATAGGCCAATCTCCCTGATGAACATAGATGGGAAAATCCTCAATAGAACACTGACAAACAGAATGCAGCAAATCATCGAGAAGATTATACACCGTGAAGTAGGATTCATCCCAAGGATGGATGGATGGCTTCACATATGCAAACCAATAAATGTAATACACCATACCAACAGAGCCAAGGACAAAAATCACATGATCATCTCAATAGATGCAGAAAAGGCATTTGACAAAGTCCAACACTCATTCATGACAAAAACCCTACAAAAACTGGAATAGATGGCCTTTATATCAATATGATAAAAGCCATCTATGACAGACCAACAGTCAACATCATACTAAATGATAAGAACTGAAAGCTTTTACTCTAAAATCACAGAGAAGACAAGGATGTCTGTATCACCAGTCCTATTCTACATAGTTCTGGAAACATTAGGCAGAGCAATTAGACAAAGGAAAGAAGTAAAAGGAATAAAGAAGGGAAAAGAAGAAATTAAATTATTTTTATTTCCAGATGACATGATACTCTACATAGAAGATCCCAAAAAATCCACCAAAAGACTTCTAGATTTAATGACCAGACTCAGTCATGAAGCTGGATAGAAAGTCAGCACAGAAAAATCAATAGCTTCCCTGTACATGAATAAGAAACCCACTGCCTAAGAAAGTGGGGAGAACACCCTTCACAATAGCGCCCAAAAAATAAAATACCTAGGAATCAACCTAACGAAGGAAGCGAAAGATCACTACATTGAAAACTACAGTCCTCTGAAAAAGGTAAAATATTTCTCACTCTTGTGTAGGAAGAAAATGTAGTGAAAATAGCCATACTTCCAAAATTGTTGTACAGATTGGATAGAATCCTGATCAAAATACCAGTAGTATACCTCACAGAACTAGAGAAAACATTCCTAAAATTCATTTGGAACCACAAGAGACCTAAAACAGCAAAAACAATTCTAGGCAAGGAAGGCAAGGGTTACATTTGTAACTTTGCAATACAGAAGCTAATTCAGTCTTTTGAGTGCCGCACATTAGCACTGTGTGATAGGAAACTGAGTCAGAGGCCATGGGGAACTGCAGGAGTGGAAAAGCAATAGTGTAAGAGTTGATGGCAACTCACCAGGACCAAGTTATTGTAGCATATCACGACTCCCATCTCTGATAGAGTGTTAGCACTGTATAATAAATCCAGTGCTTTGTACTATGGTTTTACCACATATATTAGAATGTTAGAAAGTAAAGCTCTCCTTTGGCCTATGTACCAAACGGCAGTAGGCCAAATGTCTATGTAAAATTTTAAATCCTCACCGCCAGTCCTTTGGTATTTACTGAGTTATAATTTTAATGTGGTTTCAGGTATAAATTCCTTTGAAGCTTTTCTCATATTCATAATAAAGTGTTTAAAGTTGATTTTTAGTATATGTACTGCCAAAGTGAGCACTAAAGTTGATTTTTAATAAATTATTTCTCCACAAAAAGAAAAGTAAAATAAAATACTCAGCATGCGGAGCTGCCATGTTCTGAGGGCCAACAAGAGCTTGATCTTAGTCGGACGTAGAGGACAGCATTAAAAAGGGGAGAGGGTGTGGCAGAGGGGGTGTAGACAGTGGTACTTCAGGAAGATTGATCAGTATTGTGAAGAACTGACTGGAAGGTGCAGGGATTCACACTCTGCGGAGAGTGACAAGGGCCACAGCAGCCCTGTGACCGTGTCCTTGTGAGGTCGTTGGGGCCTCGACAAGGTGGACAACGGTGACACAAAAACACAAAACAGCCTTGGACACAGAAGTTATCTGTGTAAGACGATATAAGGTGATGGATGGTGCTGGTTAAAAGGAAAGCACCCTGAAGGAAAGAGCAAAGCGGGAAATATCTTTACAGCCTTTATCTTGTTTGTAAATGCAGAAGCTCTTCATTTTTATGACACAGCATATTCTCCCAAATGCTGTTTAAAAGCGGGTCTGGAGCTGGCTATGCACTTATAACCCCAGTGCACACTTATAATCCCAGCACTTGGGAGGCTGAGGCAGGATTATGAGTTCAAAGCTTCCCGGGACTATAGAGCAAGACCTTGTCTCAAAACAAACAAAATAACAAAATCAATAAAAGCAGATCTGTTTAAAGTATAGGAGGTCAGGAAATGTGTTCATAAGTAAGACCTGGTTCTCCTTTTCTGTCTTTGTGTTCTTATCCCAGCCAGCTCTTTGGCCAGTTATTAGTTTTTGTAAATGTCAATTTCTTAATCAGTAGAATGGAGACAAGAATATGAGGTTTGTCTGCCTTGCAGGGATAGTATGGAAATCAAAGTGCTCTTTGTTAATCATCTGCTGCATGTACACTGTGTACTAGGAGCAATAGGAGAATTAAAGATGAGTGGAAGAGTAAAATAAGAACAGAACGCAAGACGGCAAAACAAGAATACAGGGGGAATGCGTGTCCCAGGAGAATAAGTCCTTAAGGGCTAAGAAATGAAATCGAGAACAGCTTTGCGAAAGAGTGAACATTTGGGGTAACCATCAAAAGGAGACAAAGCGGGGAAGGGGAGAGCAGCAATCACCTGTGTGTTCATCCATCCAGCATTCTGGGGGGATCCTCCTCCTTGACAGGTCATGGACAAAAGCGGTGTTTTGCCCTTGTTAGCTCATAATCTAGGTGGGAATAGAGTTCAGAACATAAGTGACGTATATGGTGAGTGATTCGTGCTAAGCAATGTCTGTGAACTGCACAAATTCGAAACCGGAAGAGCCCAAAAATGAGGGCAGCAGCCAGCTGTGGTGTGAAAGGACAGGGAGTGCCTGAGTGACTGTAAGGTTTCTTCCTGTGTCTTTACATTTGGGGCGCAGAGAACTGCTCTATCAGAGAGGGAGAGAAAATGGTTAAGAGAACGACCTGCACCTAAGGGTAACTATTTGTGTATAAATACGTATTCCGTTTGCTTTGGTTTTTCCCTCTTGGTCGTGCTTCGCACGTCCCGGCCAGAGTTCCGAAAGACAAATCGCCAACAGAACTCCAGCCGAACGAGTGGCCTTCTGAGCGGCACAGCTCTGCTTCCTCTCATCTGACGGTCTCGCTCTTCTGTGGTGGAACTTGGCCCCGACAAGCTCTCTCCTTCTGTCCTGCTACATGTCCTTGAGGGCTGCCCCTCCTTTCCTGAGGGCGACAGGGCTTATAAGAAAATATGGGGCCAGCACTCACTTTCAAGGTCATGCTTCCAACGGCTGGGGAGGGGAAGAAGCTGAGGTGGGAGAGATGGGCTGGCGGGATCTACTGGCTCTCACAGGAGGGTGGTGTGCTGTGAAGTGGGGGCCGGTGCTGTTCTTGTTCCTACAGTGGGAAAAAACAATTTATTCTTGTAGAAAGAGGATAGTTGAGATAAGAGTATGAAAATTATGTCAAAGCTTAAACAAGTCAGAAAGTATATATTTACCCTTTGATCAAGGAATTATGAAAGAAAAAAAAGACCTGTTTCTCCTGGTTCTTGGAGCCTATTAACCCTTCTTCACTTCTCTGTCCTTCCCTTGACTTGGGAACTTAGAGAAACGACACCAGCTCTCACTTATCATTGGACAGATAACAGGTATCTCCTTAGACATAGACAGGAATACTCTCCCACCTCGAGCAGCATCTCATTTGTCCCTGTGACAGCCCTCCCACCCCAGCCTCCACCCAACATGCTCCTCTTTTCCTTAGTCCCTTGTGCAGGAGCCTTCAGGCTGGCTCTGAACCCCAGCGTGCCTGCTCCCTGCTCACTCAGAGCCTCAGTCCCTCAGTAGCCACAGCCTGAGTGGTGCATGCGTAAAACACCTGCTGCACAGTTCTCAGGACCCAGGGACTCTCTGGACGATTTCCTCTTACCCATAGTTTTAAATCTCCAATCTGGCCTAGAGTATCTGTCGTCTGTCTGCCTCACTGCCACACACTCGGATTGTACTGGATGGCTAGTATCTCAGATGGGGTTCTTGGCTTTACATATTTTCCCCTGGGTTTGTCTACTGAGTAACCCTGAGCTTCCGGATATGAGCTCCGCTCCTCCCCCATAATGACACCTAACACTAGAGTAACCATCGCGTGTTCATCTCTTTCTTTACACCCTGCACCCATGCTCTTGCCTTTTCTTAAAGGAAACAGGATGTAGTAACAAGTGAAACCCTGGTCTTGGAGGTCAGAGAAATACAGTCCTGTGTTGTGTGGTGACATTTCAGTCGATTATGAACTGCGTATGTGACCGTGGTCCAATAAGACTATAGGACAACCTAGGCAGGTTGGCTACAGTAGGCTACACCATCTAGGTTTGTATAAGAACATTCTACAGTGTTTGCACAACAAAATCACATAATGACACATTTCTCAAAGTGTGTTCCTGTCTTCCAGCAACACATGACTGTAGTTTCAACTCTGCTACTCTTTCCTAAACTCAGAATCCCTGAAAATTCACGTACACTCTTTGAATGTTAGTTTTCTCATCTCTTATGCATATGATGCTAACGCTTGCCAATCACAGGACAGATGTGAGGATCAAACGAAATAACGTGTGTTCAAGATATTTATTCTGGAAAGCGTCTTTCTCACTAGGAAGAGCTCGCGCTGCTATAGGGGAGGCACAGAGGAAAAGATGCTGGAAACTGGCCGCCCCTCCCTCCAGACTGCACTTCCTTTTGCCTGCCTCAGCACTTTGCTCCTGGAGTGTCTTCTGTGTTGTCTACTCATTAGCTTCTCCTCCTTTGTCAGTTAATTTTGATCAGCATACAAATGTTGCATTAGCTTACATCTAAATGTTATGCAGACCTAGGCAGAGAGCTCATATTTTCCCACATTTGGTTCTCTTTACAATGTTTATCTCCTGCCACTCTTTATTTAACCTACTCTGTATTCATTTGGATTCTCTGAAAAGCAAACACCAAGATGGAACTACATGGGTAAAAGATTTCTGGAGAAAAATGCATGTGGAGGGTAAACACAGGTACAGTACTTGGAAGAGCCCGTACACCACTACACAGGTCTAACGCCTGTGAACGGACAGGGAGGAGGAAGGGTTGGGAGACAATCTCAGCATGCGGCATCACTCTGAGAATGTTTTGGTGAGGCTGATCGTGAGCCCTTAAGCCCACGTTGCCTGTTAGGGGAGTCCAGCCCTGACTCCAGCCAGGTTCTGCTACTGGCTAACACCCTGGGGTAAAGCTGGTCTTAGGACAGATCCACTGGTGAATCTACAGGAGCGTCAGCTGGGGCTTTCAGTCAGTGATGTAGGGGCCGGGGATATAGCTCAGCCACATAAGCACCTGCCTGGCAAGTGCAAGGTCCTGAGTTCAATTCCCGGTACAAAAAAAATCCCCCCCAACCACCACCCCCGAAAAAAATCAGTCAGTGATGTATCCGGCAGCAGATGATGTGAGCGGCACCTTTCCATACCTGCCACACTCTAATCGGGCTTTTGTATCTACTCAGCTAAAATTACTGAGAGCATTACTTACATTTGCTGAATTCATTGGCAATACTCCTATACAGTCTTCGTATTTTTTAATTTCTCAGCAACACGTGACACAGCTGATTACTTTATTCTTCCTAAAATACATTTTTCACTTGACTTCAAGGAAGCCACATGCTCTTAGTTTCACAGTGTTCCAATTCACAGGCAGATTAGGAGCCTTTGCTGACTCCTTCCTTATCGAAATCTCTAAATGTTGAAATATCCCAAGACACAGTTCTCAGCCTCTTCTCTATTTACACTTACTCCTTTGCTTATCTCTTCAGCCCTGTGGTTCTAAATGCCGGTTATATTGCAGTGGTCCGTTTATGTGCTCGAAAACTATGTAAAATCCTCTTGATTGTCTAGCAGATATCTTAAACAGAAAATTTGCAAAACAAAACTTGATTTTGCTGTGAGAAAATAATGTACAATGGGCAAAAGTGCAGCACTGGAGACCAGATGGAAGGGGCTATGCTATAATCCAGGAGAGACACAAGTAAGAGATGATGCTAGCTTGGGTGAGCGGTGTGGTATTTTGTAGATGTACTTCATTTACAGACCCTGAGATAGGGAATTACCCTGTCTAACCCATTTGCATGCATCCTTGAAATTAGAAAACTTTCTCCAGGTGTGGTCAGAGGGCAAGCTGTGGCAACCGAAGAAAGGTCAGAGGGATGTTATGATCCTGGCTTTGAGGATGGAGACAGGGGGCTATGAACCAAGGACTGGAATGTAAGAGATAGGAAAGGCAGGAAAACAGTCCCCTATGTTGCATTTCTGACCTAAATAATTATATGATAATAAAATTATGTTGTTTTAACCCACAAAGTTGTGGCAATTTATTAATAGCAGAAGCAAGAAACTAATATAAAATGTATATCCCAGGTCCTGTAAAAAGTAGATATGGGCATTAAATAAAGTCCAGAATTGTGAATATGAGTACTCTACTTTCTGAACTGAAACCGTATTTTGGTTAAAGTGACACAGGTTTTTCCACCTTAGAGTGTTCAGAAAGGGGGTGAGGCTCTCCCAGGTATACATCCCCATCTAGGGAAGACAGAACACCACACTCTGCCTCACCCTCATGAAGTACCACTTTAAGGACAATAATAAATCGCATTTGTTATAAAAGTGCAGACTTAGGCGCTCCAGAGGTGCAATCAGTTATCCCACAGTGCTTATGTAAAAGTGCAGACACTAAACTAAGGTGGACGAAATGTGACTCAAGTCACAGGCCACATCAGAAAACATAAGGAGGCTTAAAACAGTCACAAAGCCCTGCATGGCTAAGGCCAGCTGAACAGAAGGAACTTTAATTCTGTTACACAGGAGACAACGGAGATTCCACTCCTTCTTCACAGTGTTTGGGCTTTTATAGAATTAAAAATTTAAATTGATCAACTAAATTTGATCAGTAAATTAGTCTTTTAGTCGGAAGGTAATATGAGAGGGGAGGCCGGGGATATCGCTCGGTGGTGCAAGCGCGTGCCTGCCGGCAAGCACAAGGTCATGAGTTCGATTCCTGGTACCAAAAACAAAAAAAGAGAGAGGGGAAAATGCCAAATAGAAAAGCAAGCACAGACTGCACAAATAAAACTTGCCAAGTAGAGGCAAAGAAAGCAGTCTGCTTGCAAAGCTCCAGGTGACATTTTAAAGAAAGGGTATTGGAGGGTGTTGGGAGGGAATTACTGTGAAAATCCCCACGTGGAGCCTGAAATTCCTCTGGCAGCAGTCGTGGAAAGATGGCTACTATGCTAATGTTATAACCACCGTTCTAAATACGGTAGGCCAAAGTCTGCCAAGCAATATCTGGGTGTTTGCATGGAGCAAGAAGGGATAATGTATGCAAATTCCATGCTTAAATTTCCCTTGTTTAGAAATCTGGCTTGCTTGATTTATGACTCCCTAATCTGCTTAGGCAGAGACATTTCCTTGTGTTTTAATATCAAATAGCCTTAAGCTTAGACAGGCCTAGTGGGAGTTTGCCATTGGTTGAAGCTTAATGGGGCATCAGAAGAGTATAAGTAAATCTCATTAAGAGGCTGGAACTCTATGTCAGGAAAAAATTTATATATATCTATATATCTATATTTGTATATTTATATATAATATACATATATACATTTATATATAAAATACTTACATAATTGAAAATACATTGTGGGAGACCAGACAGGAAGAGTAAGGCCTATCTGGCCTCTTCTGTGAGCACCAGAGAGGAAGGTGGTGGGAGTGTGTGCTCACATGTTGCAGGGAAAATTAAAACCCCTGAGACCCTGTTGTTTTTTTGGGTGTGTATCATGGATGGTGGGAGACAGACAAATCCTGTTTATTCTTACTGCTTGTGCCTGTAACTGAGTGAATAAAGCCAGGGTTCACCAGTCACTTAGGGCTCTTTGTCAAAGGCAGACAAGAGCCCCTGGCCCTCCGCATTTTAACCTATTCTGTGTCTGTATTTCATCTTTGTTGTGCCTTTGTCAGGTACAAGCTCATAGGTTGGCCCCTACAGTATATTATATATTAATATATTAAAATTATATATATATATCTCTTAAAGGCATGGACTCAGATACCCTTTCACTTTTCCAGAAGAATATCCTAAAAATGCCCTGTAGGGATACCTGTAGATCTCCAGTACCTCAACTGTCCATTTCTAGTCATGAGCAAGCCATAACCTTAAGGCCCAGAATTACTTAGAAAACTGAAATTTTCCACTTTCAAATAAACAGCTGAAAAGAATAGGACTAACTACAATTATTGTTTTGACACTAAATTTGATAGGAAATAAAAGGGTACATTAATCATCTTTGACAAGTTTCTGTTTTTTTAAGAGTCCTGAATTTCCATACCCTTGTTACAAAAGAACTAAAATGTAGCTTATGCCAGAGAAGGAAAGCATACCTAATTTGGCAGATTCTAAAATAAGTGAAAACTTGCTTAAATTCAATGCAACCGATACAGTTAGAACTTTATGAAGATTTCTGTTTAACGTACGGAGTTTTGAACATTTGCACAGAATAAACACAATAATTATCTGAAATTAGTCATACAAGCCTTGTGGCAAGGAGTACTGTTCTGTTTCAGCTTCCCATGGCACTGTGAATATGATAAAACTCAGGAGACGCAGTAGGTAGCCCAGACTGGTTTGGCAGAAGAAGCCGCAGTACAGGACAAGGATACTTCCCTTATCTGCTCCTAATTAAAGGGATGCACAGATTTCCTAGAAAAGAGATTACATATAAACACACGTCTTAGCTGTTTTTCTTATTGCTGGGACAAAACATCTAACACCCGTGAATTAAAAGAGCAAAGGTTTATTTTTAGCTCACGATTTGTAGAGGCTTCTTTCAGTTGGTAGTTTGCTGGTTCCAAGGCAGGGGGCATGGCAGAGGGGAAACACTCCATGGCAAGGCGGGCAGGAGGCTTCCTTCTTCCTCTTTGCATTCCAGTCAGGCTACAAGCTTATTCCCTGGTGCCACCCACTCCCAAGGTGGGTCTTCCCCTTTCAGTAAACCCTTCACCCACGCACAGCAGGGTAGACTAATGCGGTATCACATGCCAGTGATCCAGTCATCTCCCCAAGCCCTGCCTCTGAGTGCCTGAGGCTTTAGGGGAACATCTAGACACAAGCCATAACAAGCAGCATCACATAATGCTTACTGTTGATTTTTGAATAGACAACCCATTCACAGGTCTCAAAATTCTGACAGTTCAAAAATGTACTCATAAATTGTCATCAATACTTTATAGACTTTGAAGCTCCCCCAAAAACTAACCTATACTTGGAACTCACTATGTATCAGTAAGATGTAACTTCTTTCCTCAGTAGCATAGTATTCCATCAAATGGCTACATAGTAATCCATGGACCAGTTCCACATTGATAGACATTACTTCCTGCTTTTACAACTAATGCCTCAGAGATTTGCATTGTACTGTATATGTCATATTTCACATTTGTAAGTAATATGTAGGGCCAAGTCCTAGAGGTAGAATTTATCAAAACTACAAATACATTCTGATTTAAAAAGTATGTAATTTTGGTAAATGTTGTAACCCTACAGAAGGACTATTTCATGTTTTGTTCCTGTCAGCAACAGATGAAATACCTCTTCCACACATGCTTGCTAATGCAGTGTTGGCAAACTTTATCTTTTCTAATTAGATGGGTTAACGTGGTAATTCAGTTTAATTTTAATTTGGATTTCTCACTATAAATGGGGTTGTCTTTACATATATATATTATAGAGACATTTATATTTCCAGTTATGTAAGTCGTTCACATTTTTGTGCCTTTATCTTCAGGTCTATAAGTGTGTTTATAATTTGTGAAAGAACATACTCTCCTTTTTATAAACTTTAATTGTTACCCATACGTTTGCAGTACATACTGACTGCATCCATTATGGGGGTAGGTGCATGCACGTGACACAGTAATGCTTTTTTCTCCCCTCTCTGTCCTCTCCCTCCATCTCTTGGTCACCTTCCCTTTTTTTCCTTTTTTTTTTGAGACAAGGTCTCACTATGTACTTCAGGCTGGTCTCAAACTCATTATGTGGCTCCGCTGGCCTTGAATGCACAGCAATCCTCCTGCCTCAGCCTCCTGAGTACTGGAATTACAGGCACAAGCCACCATGCCTAGCCCTTATATTCCCCTTTTGCAAAAGATCTATCTCCCTGTTTCTATGATCTATCTTTTATTTTGGTCTTTATTCATGATTTAGGTTCTCATACAAGAGAAACAAAAGATATTAAATCTTACATAAGATATTTAAGTGTGTGCCTGATTCATTTCATTTGATGTTGTGGTCTTAAGGTGCCTCAATTTTCTTACAAATGACTTAAGTGTATCCTTCTTTATGGCAGAGTAGTACTCCACTGTGTATAAACATCAGATTTTAAAAGAATACATTTTTTAAAAGTTGGTAGATGTTAGAGCTGTGTCCAAGCCTCACATCAGGTAAATATGATAGTACTTTAACTGTTACCTCTCCCCATTCAGAAGAAACAGGCAGCTATAAGATGCACAACAGGCTCTTTGTCAATCCTCGCCTCATCAGTAGACAATCTCTTAACATAAGGTTTGTCATGTGAGTCAGTTGTGTCACCCCCACTTGTCAGAACCAGGCTGGTGCCTGCTGCTACTATCACTGCCTCAATCACCTGTCCCTGTTAGGACACAGGGCGTGGCAGCTCTCCATCTTGGGTGTGCTCTTTGGGGAAGCAGTAGCTGCACCCACAGGCATCCCCTACTCCTCCTCCTCCATCCTGTTTGTTCTTCGCTGCTTTCGGGAGCCCTTCCACTAATTTGCATCTTAGACTTCACTACGCACCTGTTATGGTTTAGATCCACAATGCCCCCCAGTCCCCGGGTCAGAGGTGGGGTCTTTGGAAGGCGATGGAGTCGGGGGGTGGGTACTGCGCAGGTCAGTGGATTCGTCCTTGGATGACTTCAGAGCTAAAGGTGCTGTTAGGAGGCGGGGTCGGCTAGAGGCAGGTCACGGTGCAGGGGGCAGGCGTGACCTGAAGGGTGTTTCCCCGTTCCCGACTGCTTCCTTCGCCTTCTGCTTCCCGCTCTCCACCACACGAGCAGCTCTTCTCCACCAGGTCCTTCCGCCATGCAGTTTCTGCCTAGGAGCCAGCCGACCAGTGACCCTCACCACCCGGCAAAATGAACCTTTCCTCCTTTAGGCTTCAGGTGTCGGGTGCCGACAGGACAGCACCTTAGCTCCTCTGTTTCTCTGCTTCTTTGGGGTGGTTTCCTGGACAAGAAGAAAATGCCAATTTTACTCCACTTTTTTTCAAACTGGAAACCTGTATCCAATTCTTCCACATTTTAGGTTACACCATTTTCAAGTAAATGTTCTGTTGTTTCCATAAACCTGCAAGTATGGAATCTTTAAGGTAACTTTATGGATGTTTTAGCCACAAAGACCCAGCTGATAATCGCAATCAAGAGCTCTGTGAGAAGGCAGGAGGTAGTGGCTCTCTAAAGGAGGGAGGCCAGAACTGGTTTACTTCTAGGTGTGTGTATTTCTCTCACCATCTTCCTGTCCTTCGATTCTGAACCATCTCTGTCTTTTCTATCACCCCATCTTCCCCACAAGCTGCAGATTTGAAGGGAAACAGCCACTGCTGGTGATACTGGGACTGACAACTCCCCTCCTCCAGCGAGACATACCCACTATGGAGGGCTGCAGGTCAAGTTTGTCTGTCCATAACAGCAAAGCAGGGCTTGCTCACTGGGGAAAAGGTAGTGTGGATCCAGACAGGCCCTGAAATGTACCTCCAATTTGTGTACAATAAGTGAAATTTCATTTGTACCAATTCCTTCCTTCCTGTGGTCTCTTTTAAAACACCTACATTTTTGAAAAAGCAGGTCCTAGCCTCTGTGTACGCGACTGGACACGTTCTGCACAGGGAGAGGCACGGGAAACGGGGATGGAGAAACCCCCAAGACCAGCACTGCTCACTAACGATCTGCCCTACCGGACTTGTGAAAAAGGAGTGCAAGTCAAGCGCGACACTCGTTACTTTACTCATAATTACGACTATATAAACATACCTGCGGGCAAACCAAACCTGAAGCTTCACAGGTGAGCACTTCAGGTGAGAAGGCAAAAACTTCAAAATAAGCATAAATTCCTGCCTCCTTTCATAATTTTATGGGATTTTCAAACCTTTCATTCCATACCAAGCCGAGGTGATTTTACTATTCTTTCTGGAGCATACTGCCGCTCTTTGCAAGCTTAGCTGCTATTCTGCTTTTATCCCATAAAGTAACACTGCCACACTAGGTAGTTTAAGTGAGATTAAAAGAAGCTCCACGCTGGGACTTTGCAACGACCACAGTAATTATTTTACATGAAGAGTGAAATTAGGGTTAGATTTAAACTTTCTTGTCTCAGGCTGCTGCCTTGCTCAAAGTCAGAATTATCCAGTCATTTCATTTTTGGAAATGAATGAATGAATGAATGATTTATTTATTTAGTCTTTTTGAGACAGGGTCTTGCTATGCAGTTCAAGCTGGCCTTCAGCTCACTTTGTAGCCCAAGCTGGTCTCAAACTCACAACGATCCTCCTACTTCAGCCTCCCGAGTGCTGGGATTACAGGTGTGTGTCAGCATGCCCAGTGGAAATGAATTTAAAAAAAAATTTTTTTTTTTTTAATCTTTTTGAGGCAGTGTCCCCCTATGCAGTTCAGACTGGCCTTGAGCTCACTTTGTAGCCCAGGCTGGTTTTAAACTCACAAAATCCTCCTGCCTCAGCCTCTCTAGTGCTGGGATTACAGGTATGCGCCACGACGCCCGGTGGAAATGATT